ACACACACACACACACACACACACACACACACACACACACACACACACAGTAGGAGTATCCTCCTTACCCCCCTCCCCCAGCAAATCCCCACCAAAACAAAAAGGCAAATGTTAAAATCTTAGCTTCATATAGGAACCCTCTGTAGAGCTTTGACAACAGATATTTATATTTAAGGGTTAATTTCTAATTGCTTGAAGGTATGGCCTATGCGTATGCATGGAGATTTTTAACTGTCAGAGATCCGTTTATAGGACAGATTGTACACTCCTTCAGCTCTCTTCAGTTCTGTTAATATACAGCTACAAATCAGTGTTACCTAACCTGTTTAAGCCTGCTTTCTGTTGCTGTGATACAGACCATGACCAAAAGCAGCTTGGGGAGGAAAGGGTTTATTTGGCTTACATATCTGGGTTATAGTATATTGAGGGAAGGAACTCAAGTGGAGCTGTGGAGAAGTGCTGCTCACTGGCTTGTTTGCCAAGAAAATGCACTACAGACTTGCCCAAGGCCATCCGATGGAGGCATTTTTCTCATTTGAGGTTCCATTTTACCCAGATGATTGTAGTTTGTGTCATGACCATCTGAACCGTTCAGTGATACTCTGTTTTCCTTACAGTTTCTTTCTTCAGTCATCACCATGGTCCTTCTGACGATTTTGAGCGTAACACTGGACCCTCCTCAGAAATTACCAGACTTGTTTTCTGTACTTATATGTTTTGTGTCCTGTGTAAACTTTATATTCTTCTTTGTATACTTTAACATTGTAATCATGTGGGATTCCAAAAATGGAAGAAATCGGAAGAAAATTGACTAGCTACATTCCCAAGCAAATGCAGTCTTTTTGTTATATATAAGTGATCATATCATTTTTACAATCAGGAAATTATAGGAAAAGAAATGGTGAAAGGGCATTGTTATTTACACAAAATGTATACAGGGACCAAAGAATTTGTTTTCTAAGTATATACATTTTTTTTTTTTTGGTAAAGCATATTGTAATTTTGGTAGTATTCAGGGATATTTAAAGAGAAAAAAAATATCCCAGCTGGTTGTAGTACCTCAAATTTGCAACCCCAGTACCAGGAGGTAGAGGCAGAGGTACCTAGAGTTCAAGGTTATCTTTGGTTATACAAAGCAAGTTTGAGGCTAGCCTAGGCTACATGAGACACCTGTCTCAACAAAAAGGGGAGAGAAAAAATGTCCTGAATGCCAATATTTAATAATGGAATGTATTCTATAAATTGTAACTTTTAAAAGCTATATATTCTATATATAGTTTTAAAATTTAAGACCAGTCGGAATGCACATAGAGCTAGGCCTACTTACACACTAGTCATCTTAGAACTTGGTAACTAACTTCAAGCAGGAGGAGCACGAGTTTGAGGCTAGCCTGAAACTACATGAATACTTGTTTTGAAAAACAAAACAAAGACAAATTGTGCTTTAATAAATTTAAAATGAATTTGTTGGAAGAATTAAGCAGCTGACTTGTTTGGATACAAGTGATAAGCATCTCATTTAGAAGTTGTATCTCTGGGCTGAAGAGATGGCTTAGCAGTTAAGAGGAGTGGCTGTCTTCAAGAGGACCTGAGCTCAAGTCCCAGCAACCACATAGTGGCTCACAACCATCTCTAATGGGATCTAATGTTCTCTTCTGGTGTGCATGAAGATATCATACTGATATACATAAAATATATGTGTATATGTATTTGTATACATAAAATAAATCTGGTGTATCTCAGGGAATTAACATTTTTCTTAATTTCTGAGAAGGTACATTATGCTGTTTGAAATTTGAATATACATTATTGCTTATGCAAAATTGGATGCTTATAGATTAAGTGGTATTCTTGTTTCCAAGAATATAGAATCTCTTGATGCCATTTTTAAAAAAGAACTTTTATTGAATATAAATCTCAGAAGCTTGAAGTCTTTTTAGTCACTCATGGTAATTAGTTCTAAATTTCTTGAGTCATTCTAAATTAAAACTACCTTATTCAAGGACTCCATCTCCCTTTCTGTTTCTGCGTTTCAGGTTCCCACCGGCATACTTGTGTATTCAAGTCATGCCTCACACTGGCTTTGTCATATTAGTTGGGTTACCCCTTCACCCATATCAATGTTAAAAAATCATGTATTGTGTTTTACTTTAACAGGAAAGCTGTTTCTTTAGTCTTTGACAAAAATTAAAATCACTTTACCACTAGCCTCTTTTGAGTGTATTTCTTTCAAAATGTAGTCACCAGAACATTAAGTCATTAAATGACATATTCTAAAGTGGTATAAAGAATTGGTTCTGGACTGGCTATCTATCCATAGCCTGATGCTAGAAAATACATATTTTTCAGTCTGACAAAGCAAATGTGCATGAGGACTTCAGGGGCAAGGTCAGCACAGAGAGGCAGCCTGGTGGCTCCAGAATCAGCAGGCAATATCACTCCGTCACTGCCCCACTGCCCATGGTCACTATCTGTAATTGCTGGGCCCAGCAGGCAACATCCTGGCTGCTTTTACTTGTACCATTTTTACTTTTAATAATAATGTATCTGAGTTTAACACAGAAATGCCGATTTCCATTAAATTCTCAGGAATTCAGTAGAGCAACTCCAAAATAAAAGTATTAAGTATAATGTAATGTCAGATTCAGTGTTTCTTGTGTACATAAATTCTGTCAATAAAAATACATTTTTTTTCAGATGATTTAGTCTAACCATACCAAGTTTCCATCAGTTTTAAAGGAGAGTTACAATGAACAATGTAAGTCAGTAACTCATATCCAGTAGAAACCAGTTAGAATGAACATAGAGCTAGGCCTGCTGGTACTCACTGGTTATCTTAGCACTTGGTAGCTACAGGCAGGAGCATGAGTTTGAAGCTAGCCTGAGCTACATGAAATCCTGTTTTAAAAAACGAAAAGTCGGACAAAGTGTGCTTTGTGCTTTGTAGGTAACTTCCAAAGCACCAGATCCTCCCTAGAAAATTTCAGTGTTTCAGCTACCTTCAGGACATAGGATTTTTAAATAGATACTAACACTAAATTAAGTAAAGATCAGAAGCCTCATTGTCTTCCTTGTCAAAAATGAAGCGTTCTGTTCTTTTCAGATACACTTTAGAGTGAAGAGGCATTGTTGAGACATGCACCTTTCTCCATTCCTCATGTACTTGCATTTGCTTCTTACAGTAATGAAGAGAATAGGGTGTAGGTTCCTATCATAGAAAGCATTCCAGAATCATTATCCTTTCAGGCCTTAGGGAGAGGAGAAAATTTGTCCAAATCATAAATCACAGTGAGGGAGCAAAATACTTCTAAAAGCCCAGGTGGCCAAACAGCCCACTGTTCTATAGGAGGACAAAAGATGGACAGATTACAGCTAAAGAGTGGCTGGAGGAACTCAGTGGTTCCAGTTCTCAAGTGGTTTCTTTTCTGTTCTTTAGAGGATCAGGGCTAGGTGCATCCCTCCCCACTCCCTCCATGTAAACATTAGTTTTGCGTGTGGATCTTTCTGCTTTGTCCTTCACGTGGCCTCTAAGGGTGATAAAGCGAGAGTCATCTGATCTACAGTGAACAGAACTGGGAAGGGATTCTCAGCAGACCCAGCTGTTCTGAAAGGCACATGCTCAGTGTATCAAGAAGTCAAACATACAGTGACCTCCTTAAGCACATACCTACATAACGCATTACATCTGAAACCAACCCACTCCTTAACCCTTTATTCTCCAATTCAGGGTACTTTATAAAATGCCTTGGCTTGCACCCTAGTTTTCAATGTTAGAACAATCTATATTACTATATTTTTAACATTATATTTGAAGACATATCAGTAAGTATTCTTGATATTTCGGAGACAGAGATAAAAAGAATCTTGCTTAAATAGTTTCTGGAAACCTAGAAGGCAGTTAGTTGATTGAACTACTGCTTAGTGCCAATGTAATTTATAGTAATAACTTTTAAAAACACTTTAAGATATCAATCTGAAATGTTTCTAAGTGAAAAATGAGTTCTTTTTAACCTTGACTTTTGTTTCACATTTCCATACAAAACTTTTATTTTCAAAATGTAATCGAATCAAGTAACATGTTAGACTATTTTTGTCAAACAAACCTTAGGGCAAGTGCCAAGGTGTTTCTTTCCTTGCAGCTCAGGTCAAGTATAAACGCTTTAGAAACCATGTTATCGGGATGACTTCCCTTCCCCTCTTTATCCTGATAGCACACACGTTGTAACACAAACACCAGAGAAGCACACATCTAAGCTAATGTTTCAGAAAATCTGGAAGGGACTATGTACTTGTCCTATAGTAAAGGTATTTTCTCTACATTCATTAAAGTTTGAATTCACTTCAAAACCAACTTATATTTAGATATCTGTATTGATAGTTCATTTCAGTGTTTTCTAAATGCATGAAATCTTAAGATATTCACAATTTTCTCTGTAAGCATAGACAATGGTCCCTAGAGTGGAACAATACACACCTAACACACCAGTTCCTCAACACACTTTTAATTTTTCAATAAACATAAAATAACCTGTAAATTAATAAGTAGTCAGAACTGTACGTGGGAGAGCTGATTGCTGGTTTACCTGGTTTGTTGTGAGTTCCAATAAAGTATGTTACGCTACAAACTAGAGTCACAATTCTAGCCAGGAATGTTAAAAGTATATAGAAACATGTGATACACAGTATCTTAAGTCAAGACTCCTGTACTGCAAGGCTTACATTAAAGAGTCGAGAAGAAATGTATTATTTACATTGAGATTATCTACTGTTGTGTGCAGAAAGTTTAAATTAGCTGCAAGAAATTTTATCTAGACTTGCACCTGCCTAGTGCTACAAGCTGGTATTTACTGGGCAGATTAATTACACACGTTTCTTCTGTGCCTTAAATATGATCAGGCAGATGCAGATACTGTTCACAGTGAGCACATTTCTTCAAAGTGCCTTTGGGATATAGAAGATGGTTATTACATCATCACAAATTTCCAAATTAACATACATCTCATATATCACTTAAAGAATGATTTAAATGCTATTTGCCATGTAATCTGGTATTTGCTTTAGACACTGATAAGTTCCCATTTGCTTATTTTTGTGTCTTCTGAGCAAGATTCACCTTCTCAAATTCATCTGGCTAGCCTGGCAGCATTCTTTACTTTGTGTAAAGAAATATGAGAAATACATTTGAGAGAATTTTGATACTCCAGTATGACCCACTGAAAACACAATTTAGATGCCTTTGTCTACATGCCTTAAGGGGCTTCCAGCAGGTGCTTCCTTCAACAGCTGCCAAGAAGTGGGGTGTGGTGACTATGACAGATTCCTATTCAGTGTGTCCCACTGGGGACTCCTAGTGGTGACAGAGAATCTCATTTAGACTTAGGAACACTATATCAGGGAAGATAGTGGCAACTGCTGACTGAAACCTTCCTGCAGGCATGTGGCTGTTTCCTTCTTTTTCATCAGCAGTTAGAAGTCATACACAGTGGTGGGCTTGGGGGATGGCTCTGTGTGAGAACCTGCATTTGATTGCTAGAACCCACATAAAGCCAGCGGCAGTAGCATGCACATAGACTCCCAGCACTCAGTGGAAGCTCACAGGCTGGCTAAATTGGTGTATATATTTGAACAAGAGACCCTGTCTTAATATGGAAAATGCATTGACACCTGAGGTTGCCCTCTGAACTCCATACATATGCCATGGTAAATATATATCTGCACCCACCAACATACATACAGGAATATACACAGATTTTTGCACAAAAAGGCAGTGCACAGTGGACACCTTTATTTTTTCCTATTTAGAATAATCAACATATCTTCTACCTGTCTTATGAGATGGGTTGCAAACTTGACAGTCTTTCACTGACTCTTCAGTCTGGTCTGCATTCTTATGGCTTGACTAGTATCCAGGTAGATTGACACAGTCGTCAGACTTGAAGGTAACACTATTAAGGATAGAAAAGCTCTCATTAAAAATGTTATAATAAAGGAGATACTAGTTAGGCTAATAGTTCAATTCACTCTTACAAAGTAATATCACAATCCTCACTTAAAATCCAGTATGAGGGGAACCTAGGGCATGTATAGGGTCATAACTAGATAGTAGAGTTGGCATTGGACATCTTTGGATTTTAAAAAGCTATTATTTTTTTTTCTAATGCCAGACACAACACTGCAAAAAAAAAGTTTTCATTAGTTAACTCTGGTTGTTGGGAGAAATACTAAAAAAGATTTTGAGGTCAAATCCAGGACCAAGGAGAAAACTTAGTAAGATTTATGTTATGCACAACAGGTGTGGCAGTGTACCTCGTTCATAGTAACCACATAGTCTAAGGCATTCTTGAGACACTTGCTGTCTTACAGTCTCTGCTGCTGGACCATCTGATTATCTGAGCCTGATGACTGTGTTGCCTGAACCCTTCCTCTTAGTCTCGCTTCCTGATATTTTGGGCTTACATACTTCCTTCTGCATATTTATTCAACCTATCGAAATTTCCCATGTTTTTGGAGCCATATATGGTTGTACATGCCCATCATTTCAGCATTCAGGTGAAGGGGGAGGGCTGAAGTCAGGCCTGGCTATATCATGGAACCCTGTATTATTATTATTATTATTATTTTAAAAAAGGAGAAACCAAAAGCAGGTTTTCAGTTCATCCATTTGGTAAGTACATGGCATCTGTCACTAGAGTGTAAGTGGCTCCTGAATAGAGGTGATGTAAAGTAAATTAGTAGGGTAGCCCCACCCACCTTTAAGACATCCTCGAAGCTGTAAAGCCCAAGCTGAGGCTGCAGCTGTGTGCACTACACTAGGCGAGAGTTGGTGTGAAGTCCTCCGACTCTAACTACCTTGTCACACTTTCTCCAGTCGATGTATGTCTGTTGTGAATTTTCTAACACTGCTTTTTCTTCACTGGTACTCACAGCAGAAAGCAATGTTTATAACCATTATCAACTTTTCCTTGGCTCTACACCTCATGAAAGGCAGAATCCAGAACATTTACTGGCCTACATTTTACTGATATTATAGGTCATTAATTTTACACACCATTCTTTCTCATGTGTAGTTTCACTATCACTGCCTATTTCAAGTTCATAGGCCTTTGTGCTTCCTGTCTCATGTGGTCAGGAGACTCCCCTGTCCTTGCCACCCAGCTGCAGTCATGAGCAGAAGGCAGCTCTGTGGTCTTCAGAGACTTAGAAATTAAGCTTTTGCCTCTAGTTTAAGGCAGTACGTGGAGTTCAAGGTTAGAGTCCATATGGATTCCAGTGGACTCCACTATGCTTTAAGACCTGGTCCATGTTAACTGCTAATGTTTTTGTGCCAGAGAGCCTTGCCCTACTGGACATTATCTGTTTCTCCAAGCTGATACTGTGATCCGCGTTAGAATTATAGTATTTGTGCAGCAGGTCAGAACCCTAGAACGAAGAGGCTGAACTTGTGTGATTTAGTATAGCTCAAAAATTTTGTTTGTCCTAGCGTCTAAAGTGCTTTTAGATCATATCACTTCTGAATGTGTTTTCAGTTTTTTAGCTGAGTTGAGTGCTATAAACCCTAGAAAGGAAGCATGAAGAACAACCAAGGGAGAAGTGATGACGTAACTATACTTGAAACAGCATGGCCCCTGAGGCTGTGATCTACTCTTGGGATGGAAGCTCTCTTCACTAGGATGAGCCAGCCAGAGGAGTGGATGAGATGAAGTAAATGCCCAAAGCAAGCAAGGCTATTCCATCTAATGAAGTTCTGAACACATCATAGCATGACATGGTGATATAGTCTTTTTTTTGTGTGTGTGTGGGTGGGGGGAGGTTCGAGACAGGGTTTCTCTGTATAGCCCTGGTTGTCCTGAAACACACTCTGTAGACTAAGCTGGCCTTGAACTCAGAAATCCACCTGCCTCCCAAGTGCTGAGATTAAAGGCATGCGCCACCACTGTCTGGCGGTGATACAGTCTTTATGTTACACTTAGCTACTAGAAAAAGGTTATTGTTACAAAACAATATAATTGCTTTAAAGAAAAGCTATAACTAATTAATAAAATCTTACAGTGTAAGTAAAAGGCTTTTACATGAACAAAACAGTGAAATTTAACAAGGTTAGCTGAGTTAGAGAAGCAAGACATTACCTCAGTTCAAAATGGCTTTAAGGAATTCAAAGCTGTCAAGATGATGTTCTATATGAAAAAAAGAGATTTTTTTTTTCAGAAAACACTTGAAAATAACTTGTCACACTATAGGATACAAGAGTAAATATTGAGTCAAGTGAAATTAGCATAAAGTTGGGGGCTGGAGAGATGGTGCAGCAGTTAAGAGCACTGACTGCTCTTGGGAAGACCCAGGTTTGGCTCTGAGCACTCATAAGGCAGCTTACAACCATCTGCAGCTCCAGCTCTAAGGGCTTGGACTCCCTCTTCAGTATCCTGTGGGTACTGCATGCATGAGGTGCATTTACATGTCAGGAAAACACCAATACATGTAAAATCAAAATAGATAAATCTTTTTAAAAAGTTTTATTTTATTTAAGTTTGGGTTTTATAATTTTTATTTTAATGTCTCATAGGCTCTACTTCAGAATATACATCTTAAAATGATAATAGCCAGGAAGTCTGTTATATGCCTTGTACATCATACCAAAGAGTATCAGTGTGATGCTGATGCTATTCTTTCACACTTCACTATGGTTACCTGCCCTTTGTGCTGGACTCTTATGTTCCTGAGGGCAGGATGAGGTCTGTCATGTTTTGTTGTTTTGTTGGCATCCCTAAGGCCAGAAGACTAATTCATAACAGGCATTCTATAAACATTAAATTAATGAAGGACATAAAGAGGGCAACCATAAGTATTTGAACTTTAATTACAGTACTCGGGAGGCAGAGGCAAGTGGATCTCTGTGAGTTTGAGGCCAGTCTGATCTACATAGCAAGTTCTAGGTTAGCCAGGACTACACAGTGAGACCTTGTCTCAAAAACACATCAACCAACCCACCAAAACCAAAAAAAAATTTAAGTGTTTGAAAATATTTAGATAATTCTTGGAATCAGGCAACATTTCTTGTGCTACAAGGCATCTAGCTTTGATAGATAATATTTAAACAATTCTTAGACTGGACATTTATCCATCCATTCACTCATTATGTACTACATAAGGGTTCTGTGTAGATGCTCTACTGTAGTTACACCCCAGCCCTCTCTCTCCAGATGCTGGGTGAGGCTCTGGGGTTGTAACACAGAGGAGTCCACAAGAAGGCCAGTAATCCGAGTGACAATGCACTACACAAACACAATTAACAGTTGACAAGGACCATGGGAGTCTATGACATAAAACAACTGTGCTTCGCCTAGGAGAATGGTGAGCTTCCCAGAGGATGGCCCATTTGAGACTGACTTTACAGTGAGATAAGCAGGGGACTTGGAGGCGGAGAAGGAAGAAGAGCAGTTCATGAGAAGGAAAGCTGCAGGAGTCCAGGCATTCCGTGGACTGTAGCTAAGTGAGAATACAAATGACCTCCCTCCTCTTTTGAGTCTTTGCTAGACAGCAAAGCACCTAACATAATTAGCTATATAATAATGCAAATATACTTTGTTACTTAGGTGTCTAAAGCATGTATGCCACGGAGCAGTATGATGTGAGTCCTGGCCATGGGGTTAGTTTTTCTGACTGCTTTTCAGGGTTAAAATGGAAAATGTTCACCTGTCAGGCAACAAAAAACCAATTTCTATAAATGTGCCAGGATAATTCTTCTCCTCCTCAAGAACAGTCAGTCCTTAGTCTATTCATTACTGTCTTTTTATAGTATTTTTATTTAATAAAACCTATTAAGGCCACCATACAAATCTCTTTACTTATGCTTTTATCTTTTAACTGATCAATTTTTATATTGCTGACACCCCTTCTTCACCATTTGTTCATTTAAAAATTCATAGTACGTGAGCTATGTCTCCAGGGAAGTGTCTATAAAATTTGTTACAGCTGGCAAATGGGTCTGAGTCAGTGGTAGCACATGACTAAATGCTTCACAGAAAATAAAATTTGTTTCTGTAGTAAGCAGAACTGTTTAAATGTTATTTATTTTTATGTTTCAAAGAAAATATATTGTGAAGTGCTGCATTGATTTAAAAGGCAACAATGTCTGTGTACACGCTGTAGAAGGGAAATTTATGAAACCTTTGCACAACTCCTTTAATTGAATTTTCCAAATCTCTCACCACACACAAATAATCAATATCTTCTGCAGAGAAAACCAGTCAGAATTATTACAGTCTTTCTTTTCAATTTTGTTGTCATCAGCACATAAGAACACCTGGATATTTGTACTGTCTGCTTGCAAGTTATTTACACCTTTTAAACACATAATTGCTATTAAGTGAGTCCAAAAGTATAACATTTGCTACAGATTTCTTTCAAAAGAAAAATTATCATACTTTAAGTAAAGTATAAAAATTTAAATCATGGAAGAAAATTATGTAAAAGGCTTTGAAAAGTAATAACCCTGTTCCGCTTTCCTTACATTCAAGACAAATCTTGAGTCGGCATTCTCATCAGTTGGTCGTAGTCCCCGAACAATGATGATGGGCGAAAAGCAAGAACTCTAACACTGTCAACAGAGAGGTCTGACCCTGGACAGCATGCACAACAATGAGTCCGCATGAAGGACTGAGGGCTACAATGTACATTAATGCGTATCTGTGATATCAAAATTAACAGCTATCTCCAAATAAATCCATGAAATCGCAGAGGGGAATTTTAAAGAGAATTCCAACTCAAATCTGAGTGCTTTTAAAACTAAAGCATTTGAGGAAAAAAAAAAGATGCTGCACAATATTTAAGATCAAAGATGAAATGCCAAGAGGGCAGTAGTCTCAAGAAGTCAAAGTATTTGGCTAACATAATAAGTATTTTTTCAAGACTGAATTGTGAGATGTGTAACATTTGGTTAAAAAAATAC